AAAACACGAGTTCAAATGTTAGGGGTTTTTACCGTAACAATTTATTGCAAAACTGATTTATACCTAAGAGGATTTTTTTTAAACCCACAGCTTTTATTTGACTAGTATCTATGACCATTCAATATTTGAAGCCTTCAGTAAGGTTGTACAGAAACTCATTCCACAGCTGCCAACCTTGGAAAATCTACTAAATATCTTTATATCAGTAAGTGCTATGTTATTACTTTTACTTACTAACTTCAGTTTCAAAATAAACTACAAGTTGAATCTCTCTAGTCCAGCATAACTTTAGTTGGTTGGATGTCCACTTATGAGTATGGCCAAGTTTCCTGCAGTCTCAGAAAGTTTGTCTATAGTCCCCAGCCTCCTTTCAGTGTTGTGTACTCTTATGTAGCTCTAATTTATCCCTAAATGTCATCTTCTGTTTGCTGATCTATTATAAGTGGTGTTAATGCTGCTAAACAATATTGATCTCCCCTGGTTCGGCAAAGTATTTCATTTGGCACTGGTGTGGTCCTGAGGGTGCCAGACTAGAGAGATTCAACCTGTACTTTTAAATATATACTGTATAGTACATTGGCAAAATTGTGCTTGTTGCAGGTTATGCATATCCCAGGTACTCCACCTTTGCCAGGGAAATAAGCTGTACCAGCAAAAGCACGCTGAAGGTATAGCTGCATAGAATCCTAGAACACTAGAACTGAAAGGGACCTCAGAGGTCATCGAATCCAGTCCCCTGCCATCACGGCAGGACCCAATATCGTCTAGACCATCCCTGATAGAGGTCTGTCTAACCTGCTTTTAAATATCTCCAGAGATGGAGATTCCACAGCCTCCCTAGGCAACTTATTCCAGTGTTTAACCACCCTGACAGGAAGCTTTTCCTAACATCCAACCTAAATCTCCCTTGCTTCAGTTTACGCCCAGAAGGATGGTCATGAGGACGACTATGTACAGCAAACATGGTTGCTAGCATAGGGAGGAAATTGAAAAAAGGCCCTCCTGGTAAGGAAATGGGTGGGAGGGAGGGCAAAAGGGTATGAAGTATGCAGGGGCAGATGACCGTTTTGCGGGGCCCCGGGTAGCATAATTTTGCGGGGCCCCCCTTTGCCATGGCGCATGTGTGGTGACACCATGCGCATGCACGGTGGCGCCACGGCGCATGCGCAGGGCTTTTTGAAGCGCGGGGCCCGGGGCGGCCGCCCCGTTCACCCTGCCCTATATCCGCCCCTGGAAGTATGAATAAACGAATGGGAAAAAAACCAAGGAAGTAGTTGGATACCATGTTGATAGGGCTCTTTAAGAGCCAAGGCAATAGATGGCTAAGAATGACTAGGAGTCTGGTGGCACTTGAAAGATTAACAATTTATTAGGGCATTAGAACATAAGTTTTTGTGAGCTCCAGTTTGCTTCCTCAGGTACTGAAGAGAAATACAGAAAGGCTGGGGGAGGCTGCAGAACTGGATGTGGCTCATGTCCAACAGTGGTGAGAAGGGGAGAATACCTACATGGGAAATGCGAGAACCTCTCAATGTGTGTGTTTAGACCTTGGTCTAGGGTGTCAAATTTGCATATAAATTCCAGGTCAGCTGTTTCTCTCTGCAGTCCGTTGTTGTTGTTGAAGCTTTTCAGTCTGAGTGGCAATTTGCAAGCCCAACTATTCTTGCAAGTCTGATTTATGTTAATTTATTCTTATACATAGCGACAGTCTGGTTTGTCCGATATGTATGGCAGAGGCTCATTGTTGTCACATGATGGCATGTTACACTAGCAGATGTGCATGTGAATGAGTCTGATGGTGTAGCTGATGTGGTTAGGTCCTGTGATGGTGTCACTAGGGTAGATGTGTGGACAATGTTGGTAATGGGGTTTGTTGCAGGGATAGGTTCCTGGATTAGCAGAGACGGGTGGTGAGTATTTGCAATAGGTAACTTCCCGTTCAGATACTCGAGCCGTCTGACCACTGTTGGAGATGACCTACATCTATTCTGATTTAATTAGCGTTCCCATCGCTGTATTTTTTTTTTTTCCCTTCACTCTGGTCTTTTTTTCCTCCAACCTCTGAGGAAGTGAGTTGTAGCTCTCAAAAGCTTATGATCTAATACCCTAATAAACTATTCATCTTTAAAGTGCCATTGGATTCCTTTACTGAAACAGACAAACATGGCTACCTCTCTGAAATGGTTAAGAATGGAGGTGTAGGTTGGAATAGTGCTGTGTAACACTTTAGCGAATAGAACATGGAGTATAAACTTGATAAAAAAGTGACCAATGAATAGTCTTTTTCAGAGGAGTGTCCTGGATACCCGACCAAATTGGGAAGATGTGGTCTACAAACCACTTGGAGAAAGTCTCAGAGGGGGTAGCCGTGTTAGTCTGTAACTTTAAAAACAAGTAGTCCTGTGGCACTCGAGGGACTAACAAAAATATATAAAGTATCATGAGCTTTTCACTTCTTTAACACTTCAGTTGTCTCGTAAATAGAGATTCTGACTGAAATCAACATTGTGCTCATTTGAACCTGTTTCCTGCTAGTAGCAGGCATTTGGTGACCTTTCAGTATGCGTACATGCACCCTTGGTCATCCATATGTGAGTAGTATCAAAGTGACTGTTGAGGGCATCTGATGCTCTTACTGTAGTCACAAATACAGTAGCTGATTTTAGTTGCCCTCTTTCCTATCTGATTGTGCATTCTCTCCATCATTTGGGCTAACAAGCAGTGTGATTGCTACCTAGAGAGAAAGTAAATTATATATAGGCGTAGAATTCAGTCTGTAGAATGTATTTGCCGCTGCCTTAACTTACGTGAAGACCTGTGTAGCTCAAATGATTCTTTCACCAACAGAAGTTGGTCCAATAAGAGAATCTCTCACCTTGTCTCTGAAATCGTGGGAGTGTCATGTTACGACACTCCTACATATTTGTTTGTTCATAATACTTGTCCTTCACCTTTCATTACTGATTTCATTGCCTGGATAGAACTAGTTTACTGGCATTTGCACATGTGCAGTGTTTTCCATGTTGAACAGGAAAAAAATCTGTAAAGGTAGAGAAGTAATTGTAAGTTAAGTGCTTGGGAATTTGTAGTGGGAGTTCCACACTGTTGCCGTCTATGGTTTTGGTAGTTTATATAGTGGCTTTTCATGGCAAATCCATTCATTCATTAAAAATTTTCTGTCAACTGAAATGCAACATTGACAATGTAGTCAGTTGACCAGTTTCCAGGCTGATGTGGTGTCCTTTTACCTATACAGAATCTCAGGAGACTGTGGAAATTATTCAAATCTGAATCCCATTTTGGTCCTTTTGAGTACTTGAAATGTTGCTTGTTTTCATACCTTGAAAAATGTGAAACTGAATTCTACATAGCTAAGACTTCTTAAAATGTAGCTGTTCTGATCACTCAGCATGCATCTCCAATTCTTTCTTTTTGAAGAATTCAGGCATTGAAAAAGCCTTTCTCTTTGATGTAGTCAGCAAAATCTACATTGCAACAGACAGTTCCCCTGTGGACATGCAGTCATATGAGCTGTGCTGTGACATGATCGATGTAGTGATTGACGTGTCCTGTATATATGGGTAAGTGATAAATCCTTTTGGAGAGTCGCCTTGAGAAGCTTTATAACATAGCTAAGATGAGAGCTGTGAGCTTCATGCAAACGTGTTAGCCCCCTAGCTACTGGGTGCAATGGACCAAAGAGCTGCTTCTCCTATCCATTTAGAGAGGAAGGATGGTATTTGGGTTCAGCAACTGGACTGGGTTGTGGTTATCTGAGGGTGTTCCCTGTTTGCCACAGTCCTCTCTGACCTTATGCAAGTCACTTCTCTAAGCCCTAGCTTCTAAATTAAAATGTGTAATTTCTGTAGTGCTTAGTGACGGGTGCTGTACAGAAACCTACACATTCAATAGGATTCACTCCTGTCCTTACACACTTTCCCAATGAGCATTAATTAACCATGCAGTGAAACTACATGGATTCAGAAAGTTTCTCTTTGCTTGGGGGAAGTCACTTTTTGAGCTGGCCAGGTTCAGCCTTGGTTAACACCTTTTTGATGGAGGCAGACTGAGCATTGTTTCATTAGCAGCCTAATGTGAACTTGCTAGTGGTACCTAATCAGTGTCCTGCTGCCTCAGAGATTCCTAGAGCTATAAGAAGGTCCATTCTTTCCTCCAAAGGTGGAACATACACTTCCACAGTGTGTGCGCCAGTTTTTCTAGACTCCCAAGCAGAATATGGCCCTAATGCAACTATAGATAGAATGTCGTCTTAGAATGTATTGATATCTGCTAGGAAATACCTTCTCATTCAAAGATACTTGACTCATGGAGAAGGCTGGTCCATTCTTAATTATGGTCCAAGGGATGTGGTATACATTTGGGACTAAACATTGTCAACCTTCAGTGGGATCTTCCTTGGACATCAATGGAGTTTTATGCAGATCAGGGGTAGAAGAATGTAGTGTTTCTTTCAGAACCTTATTACAGTCAAAATAATGTATGGAAAAAATGGGACCACAAATAGGGACCACTGCTTCTGCCCCTCATTTCTTTCTTCTGTATCCACTTTTGTTTCTTTCACTATTTTCCCCCCTTGGATTTCCTTCCATGCCACTAACCCAGAATCCTACTCCCTACCCATTCCATCCATTGAAATGTGGAGTACTTAAATAGTTAGTTGTTGCTTGAATGTTTCCAGTAGACTTAAATTTAATACCCAAGACTAACTGCTGGGCAAGGGTGTTCGCTCTCTGAGGCTTCGTTTACACTACACAGCTGTTGGCAACATAGCTATTTAGACAGGATCATGTGGCTAAACTTTGGGCAGTGTAAACACTGTCCATACTCTTGCAGCCAAACGTCCAAACCTCCAGGAGTTTGCTTTGTAGGCAAGCGAGCGCTCCTGTTGGCATATCACAGTTTACACTAGGATTTGCCATGGCAAAGATTTTGTCGTCCAGGTTTTTTTTTTTTAAAAAAAAAAACAACAAATGGTTTGGTAGTACTTTATAGACTAATGAAACATGTAGATGGTATCATGAGCTTTCCTGGGCACAGCCCACTTCAGATGACCGGAGTTATGAGTTGGGGATATGAAAACTTGAAATAAATAGGAGAGAGGGGAGAGAGAAGAAGGGAGGAGGGTGAGAGACAGAGCATCATTAAGTATCTGGAGAATGGGTACTTAAACCTAAGCAGATAAAAATCAGTCAATAGATAAATACCTAAAACAGGAAGGATACAACTTTGGGAGCTGTTAGCACCTTCAGTGGTTATTAAATAGGTAGAGTCCCCACCAACCCATATCACAATTGAGTCCATTAGCTTGTGAATTGAATTTGTGGATGAACTGGGATTCCAGGGCTTCTCTGTGTATTTGGCTTGTAGAGCTAGTTTGTGAACAACAACAAGCTTTATTGGTCAACTTCGGTCACACCCAAAAGTTGACCGAACTAAAACCGCCAGAGGCTGTTCACACTTGTTCCCTCTGTCAACAGATCATGTTCACACTGGGGCACCCGTGTGGGTATCCCCACAGTGCAGTGTTGTGGGAAGGCAGAGCTGATCCCCAAACCTCTTCGAATTCCCTGTGAGTTCTCCCATAGTTTACTTAGCTGCTGGGAGCTGCGTCATGAATAACTCTGGGAGCAGTCTGTGCTGAGGAATGTCATAGCAGCATTGCAGTCTTTCCCTCCCAGGCAGTAGTTTGCCTGCTGCTTTGCTCCTCCTGTTGCAGGACAGAACAGGAGTCAATACACCACCAGGAAGACATGTTTCAGGAGTTAATGCCCCAAGTTGACAGTGTTTCTTTGCAACTGGGGGGGATCTAGAGATTTCCTTGCTTTTAAAATAAGTGAGACGTTGTAGACCCTGAATTTGTCATGCAGGCCTCATATAAGACAGCGAGTGGGTGAGGTGGAGAACATCACTGCTCTAAATACTTTCAACAGAGAGAAATGCAAATGACGCATATTTTGGAGTACATACACACTGTTGCTAAATGCTAAGAGGTAAAAACACAGAGCTAAAACTCACTTTAACTGCAGCTTTCCTAATGATGTACCTTTCAAATTGATATCCAGGCTTCATATAATTCTCATGTATCAACACGTTATGCCTTCATTTCAGTTCTAATTAAATTGTTTTAAAGGTAAATTCTTGAATATTTTCATCTTTCTGTTAACTGTCTCTTGCTTTAACATAAACACAGGAGTTCCAAAAACAAGGGTCCAAATTAAATGTAAATTTAATTATAGACTACTAAGTGGTCTGGTTTGTAGTATCCAACACTGAGCAGTTTCTAGCAATGTTGATGTGTTTAGCACTGCATGGCTTGATAAACAGAATAGGGATGTTAGGGAGAAGTTGATTACTCGGCTACCTGATAAGCATAAACTTATGCTTATCAGGTAGTTGACTGGAGTATCAGCTACTCGCTACTCACTCCTCCCTCCCTCTGAGGTGAGGGGGTGGAACAGGAGCCAGTGCTGGGGGAGCTGGCTTAAAAGCGATTTTTTTTTTTTTTTTTCCCCCAGCACCATCTCCATAGTGCTGCCCTGGCTCCATTTTTTTCCCCCTTTCCCTCCCATGTGTCTATCAGTTCGGCCCTCCTGAGGACAGGGGCTGCTGCAGCCAAGCAGCCCCTGTTCATGGCAGCCTGGGCTTGCCATGTGCAGGGCCTGCTCCAGCAGTTGCCCCTGGCTGCGCCCAGCCCTGGCTGCCATGAACAGAGGCTACTCTGGCAGCCGCGAGACAGTCCTGACTCACGCTGGTCTGGAACGCTGCACCTCTGCATTTGGAGCCACCTCTCTTACTACATTTAAAATGCAGAGCTGCAGCATGGGTGGCTCCTGGAGCTGGCATGAGCCAGGACTACTCAGTTCCCATTTGAGCTTGCTCCTGAAGCTATCCCCGCTGCGGCTCTGCAGAGCGGCTCTTATCAACTAATTGTGTGGACTCTCTTAAGAATGCATTGTTTTTCCAAATACGTAAGGTCACGATGGCAAAGCCTTTAGTAGTTTTCAAGTTGGCCTGCCTTATCCTTTGATTTTTATAAGGTCTAACCATGGACAGTGCATTCAAAAATGCAATTTTATTGCCAAAAATACTTTTTCCCAGGGGTAGTGGATGTTAAACTAGAACTTTATCATCCAATTGTTGCAGCTCTGTAGTGATGGCTGCTAATTAGTTCTGTGAGTGTAACTTATAACCCTGCAGCAGCCCCTTTACACTTTGGAGTACCATTCTGCCATGAGACCTTTCCTACACAAGGATAAAACCCTGGTCTTGCCGTTCAAAGCACAGGCCTATACCACTTGAGCTAAAGGGATCTCCTTTGACTGTAGGAGGACACTGTCTGTATAAGCTGCAGTTCACCACTGGGGGAGAGGTGGGATGTTCATAACAGACCAAGGATCCTGTGCTGCCTTCCAAGCTACAAGTCAAGTAGTCTTGCCCAAACTAGGGATGTGAAAGTGTAACTGTGTACACTGTTAACCAATGAGCCTCGGCTGATACAGAGGCAACAACCGGGGATGAGGGTGAGGAGGTAGGGAAGAGCCATCTGCTGCTCAGTGTGTAACCACATAACTGCTGATGTTTTCAGCGGTTACAGTTACTTTATTGCCCACATCATTTTAACGTCCTTAGTCCAAACTCCGTTCTCCATCACTTCATGAGATTTGTCCTATTGCTTGAATGTTGGTAGGGCTGTCCCAGGCCCACTCTTTGGAGGCCCCCACGGCGTCTGCCTCAACTGGCCCATGCATGGGAGGGACCCAGGGGATTACAGCCTCTGGTGTGGGGCGGCAGAAGGGGTCAGTCTGCACACACTAACCGCAGCGGCCTGAGCCAGAGCGACCTGGCAGCTTGCTCTGCTGTGCTGTGGTGTACCGACCGCCCTTTACCAGGTAGCTTGTGCTCTGCTTTCCAATGCTGCGGAGAAGCAGGGCACAGCAGTCTGAGGCTACGTCTAAACTACGATCCTCTTCTGCAAGAGGAAATGCAAGTGAAGTGCTCATTTGCATATGCTGCACACTCAGTTGCATTTCCTCTTCCCTTTTGTGCATGAGATTTTTGGGCAAAAAGGCGCTGTCTACACAGCGCTTTTTTGCGCAAAAGGGAAAGGAAGATGAAATGCAAATGTGAGCACGGCCTATGCAAATGAGTGCTTCATTTGCATTTCCTCATCTAGAAGGGGATCGTAATTTAGACTTAGCTGGAGCGGGCAGCACTAGGTTGGTCTGGCTCCCTGCTGCTATGGTGAGTGTGAAGGGAGAGGGAGCAGCCCCTGTTGATGCTCCTCACAAGACACTGTAATCTATGGAGCCATGTTGCTCAGAGGAGAGGGGTAAGGGGATGGTGCTTGGAGAAGGGGAGGGCAGGGTGGCACAGGGGAAGCGCCTGTGGCACAGGAGTTGTTCTGGGCCCATGCCCTGAGTGGGGTAGGCCCAGACCCTGCATCCCCTAGAGATGATCCTGCTTAAATGTAAGAAGTCGTTGTGAGGCAGGGCTGTACTTGTGCAGAGTTCTCCATATCCCTGGCTCAAAGCTCCTGTCAACCAGTTTCTTCGTAGGGCTTTTCTCTGAGATTGTTTTGGAAAGCTACTGGCAGGGATGTTGAGTCTTCCCTTGTGTTGGTTCTGAGGCCCAGCTGATTGAATTACCATTGTGAGTCAATGAAATAATTCTACATGTCTACGCAGGGTCTACAGCTTAACCTCCCTTCCCTGTTATTCTCTTGTCGTCACCACACACTTAGGGTGTGTCTAAACTACAGGGTTTTGTCGACAAAACTATACCTGCGTCTACACTACTGCTGAGTTCTGTCGACATAAAGTCAACAGAACTCAGCAGTTTTGTCGACGCTGGTAAACCTCATTTTACGAGGCATAACGCCTTCTGTTGACAGAGTTTCTGTCGACAGAAGGTGTTATTGCATGTAAACTGTCCTTTGCGTCTACACTACCATGTCGACAAAGCAACTTGCTTTGTCGACAGAACTGAATGTAGTGTAGACGCTCTTTGTCGACAGAAGTTTTGTCGACAGTATCTGTCGACAAAAGCCTGTAGTCTAGACGTACCCTTAGATATGCCTTTTTAATTACAACATGACTTCTTCAAATATATGATTTAACTAGTGGTATGTTTAAAGGATAGTAACAAGCAGGCTCTGAGTGAGAACAGATAGTGAAACAAAAGTCAATATTTTAATGAGTTTGAACCTGCATTTAGATTAATTTTCTTTTACTGTGGAACTAACAGTTTTAATACCAAATTAGCTCTTCTAGCTGAAATTATAGCTAGCGGATGGACCTGAATGGCATCCTTAACTGTGGAGACGTAACCACTCTATCTACCCAATATGAAGGCAAAATGACATGCTTAGTTGCAAATGTACTCTTTTAACTGGATGTTGCTGATTTGATGATGGAAAAAATTGTGTGTCACATTTGGCCTGAAATCAGAATATTGGGTTGAATGTATTAAATGTATTTGCTGCTGAGTTTCTCCCCTTTTCATGTCTCACTCTCCTGTAAAGCCATTGGGGGTAGGGCTTCACAAATTCTTTTTCTGAAAAGCTAACTAAATTGTCAGCTTGTATTGAATGGTTCACTTTATTCTTGTAGTTTAAAAGAAGATGGCAGTGGAAGTGCTTACGATAAAGAGTCTATGGCAATTATCAAACTCAATAATACAACTGTCCTGTATTTAAAGGAAGTGACAAAGTTTCTGGCACTTGTCTGCATTCTTAGAGAAGAAAGCTTTGAACGCAAAGGTAAGCACTTTCTTTCTCCCTAAAAAAAAAAAAAGCTTTTCCAGTCAATTTTGTCACTTAAAAGATTTTATAATGCTGATTTTTATGAAGCAACTCAACTGTAACAAAGTGATTTGTATCAGAGTGGTAGCAGTGTTAGTCTGATTCTGCAAAAAAAAAAAAAAAAAAACCCCGAGAAGTTCTGTGGCACCTTATAAACTAACAGATTTATTGGAGCATAAGCTTTCGTAGGCAAAGACCCACTTCATCAGATGCATGTAGTGGAAATTCCAGAGGCAGGTAAAAATATACAGGCATAAGAAAAGCATTCCAATGAAGAGTAAGGTTAGAGATAATGAGGTCAATTGAGTCGGGGAGGATGAGGCCCCCTTTTAGCAGCTGATGGGGAGGTGTGAGCGCCAAGGGAGGAGAAACTGCATTTGTAGTTGGCTAGCCATTCACAGTCTTTGTTTAATCCTAAACTGATAGTGTCAAACTTGCAGATGAATTGTAACTCTGCAGTTTCTCTTTGAAGTCTGTTTTTAAAGGTTATGTGTGTGGTTGTTGTTTTTTGTTTGTTTTTTTTGGTTGCAGGATGGCTCCTTTTAAATCTGCAGCAGATTTATAAAGTGCCACAGGACTTCTCATTGTTTTTAAAAGTGATTTGTAATTTCACCATTAGTTTCCTTAATATGACCTGTACCTCTTTTTCTTTGTGATCTTTGAGGTTTTTTCCTTCCAAAAAGATGTGTGTGAAGAAGTCTCTGTGTCTGCAGTATGTAGCAATAAATGAAATATATATCTCTGATCGATCCTCCCATTAAGAAGGGCTGGGTGGTGTCAGATTTGCATATGAATTCCAGCTGAGCAGTTTCACATTGAAGCTCTTTGCTTGCAGATGGCAAGTTTCAAGTCTGCAGCAGTATGTGTCCAGGGAGGTTAAAATGTTCTCCCACTGGCTTTTGTATGCTGGTTTACCATTTTTGATGTCTGATTTATGTTAAATTTATTCTGCTGCATAGGGACAGTCTGGGTTGTCCAATGTACATAGCAGAGGAGCATTGCTGGTTCATGATAGCCTACATCATGTTAGTACGTGTGTAGGTGAACAAGCCTGATGTGGTTAGGACCTATTAGCAATTTTATCCGCTGTTGCATGGGTCCTTAACACAATCTTTTTTTGAAAATAAAAGGAAAATATACATCCTTTATTTAAACAGCCATATTTTTCTAAGTGTCTTTATTTTTTATTTCATAAAGGGATTAAATTTTTTCACTTAATTGTTTTTGATAAATTTAAAATGGGAATTCCATCAGGTGTATTTTTCTTCATCTCTCTAAACCGTAATCATGTTTGACAATAATCCTTTTTTTGTTAAAAGAATGTGGTTTGCAATGACATGGGGTTCTAATTTTCAAATCGTAAGCATTGATTTAGCTGTGCCAAAATGGAGCACTCCTCCAAATGCCTTGGTTTAATTCCTTTTCTGTAAAGTTTATTGAGAAGCAATCCTATTGTAGGTTCTTCCTATTTTTGACTCATTTTGGTTTAGTCCAGGCATGAAAGTACCTTAAATTTCTTACAACGGTGCCTATATTACAAACCACCCACCCAAACCACCTGTTCCTGGGAGGGACGGGGGTTGTGATATGACGGTACCTGTATGAAATTTAAGTGTGGCAAGGCATTGGAGAGTGTCTGTGTGGAGGCTCAGGGAAGAGGGTGGGGCTGTGGGGAGATTCAGGGTTAGGGGGTGAGGAGAGGCTTAGGGCATGTGTGGAGGGCCAAAATAGTGCTCTCCTCCTCCTCTTCTCCCCCCCCCCCACCTCCCCTGAGATTCATACCAAGACTGCTCACTGTTCCCCTTCCTGTCCTTGTCTGGGAGTGAGAGCAAAGTGAAAACTACTCATCTTCCTCTTGTGCTCTGCAGCCAGTGTGAAAGATGTGGTCAACTGTGCACTTCCCCTCTCTTCCGGTCAGGGAAGAAGGGGAACAGCTAGAAGTGTCTCCATATGAATGGGGGGAAGGAGAGAGCATCAGTCCCCCTGCCCTCCTTAAAGGGCACCTTGTGGGTGGGAGGCTTGGGGCTAGGCAGTCCCGGACTGGGCTGGGGGAGCCCAGCCAGCCCCTTTCCCCTGCCTGGTGATTCTGGCTCTCTTCCTGTTTGGTTTTGAGATGCAATCTCATTCTGGGCGCATCCCATTTTCCTGGTACACCCAAATCCTTACATTTTGTTAAGTGATGAGAAGAAGCTTTATACTGTCTTTGGTGGTCATAACTCTCCTCTTTAGGAGGAGGAGTTGCATAGAAGGACCTACTGTTAAATATATAGTAGATGTGTGTGGGTTTGTTGCAGGGATTGGTTCCGGGGTGAATGTGTGTTTCTAGAATGTGCAGTTCGTGGTATGCATTTCAGTTTGTGGGTTGTTTGTAAGCCAGGACTGATCTGCCTCCCGTGGTCTCCAAGAGGAAGAGATTATCATTTAAAAGAGGTTGTAGATCCTTGATGTGTTGGGGGCTGTAGATAATGGCTATTGTTTTCTTTGCTGGGTCTGTCCTATAGTAGGTGACTTCTGGGTACCTACCTGGCTCTGTGGGTCTGTAAGATGCCACCAGACTCCTTGTTTTTGCTTAAACAGACTTATACAGCTACCTCTGAAATCTGTCTACCATAGGTGAGGAAGACTGCTTTCAAGTGACTGGTTTTAAACAGATCTTTAAAAATTTCGGCATATTTTATAATACATTCCTTAAAGGATTTCCCAGTCCTAAAAAGTGTAACCTCATAAATATTGGCACTGTTTTTATTAAATATTCTGGATAGTAATTTATTGCTGACTCCTTTGGTTTACAGTATTTATTCTGAAATGTCTTAATAAATTAAGCATAATTACTTTATGCCAATTTAAGTTTCATTGGGTATTTGACAGATACTGAATCAAACTTTTTTCCTTTCCCCCCGCAGGTTTGATAGACTACAACTTTCATTGTTTTCGCAAAGCCATTCATGAAGTCTTTGAAGTAGGTGTTGTGTCCCACAGAACCTGTAATCACCAGGCAAGCACCCCAAACATGAAAGCAGTGACTCATAATGGCACGCCTAGAAATGCAGTCTAGGCGAAGATTAAAAACTGGTTGGACCGACTTTTACCAGCTCTTCACTCCAAAGTTTAACGTTGTAGACCAGGATAAGAATACAGTCTTAGTCTGGTGTGTGTGTTCCACAAGAGAAGAGCAACACAAACTTTGGAAGAGCAGCTTAACTGGTGTTGGACAACTGAAACTACTGTAAAACATTTGAAGTTCTGTGGAGTTAGAATTGTTAACTGAAAACCGGCGTTGGCTGGACCGTGGCGGCTTTTCCTGTTCAAGAGTCCTGTTTTAACAGGCTGGATACAATATGAATAGGAGAGCTTGTACCTTTTTGGTGGAGCATATGATAGAGTGTAATGTGAAACACTGAAGTCACTTGCTCATCTTCATTTTTAACTGTTCTGTAAAATAACCAGTTTAAGTTTAACTTTTGCCTTTCAGAGAAATTAGTGGTGTGGAGACACTAGCAACATCTTACATTCATGCTTTGGCTTTGTAAAGGTCTGTGGCCTAGAACTTCAGTAAAACCCAAACATTCCATAGCATTCTTTTCATTAGACGTATATTGCGTTGCAGAATATCAGCGAATGCCATAATGGCGGTAGGGCCAAGGTTTGCCTGCTCCCATATTCTTCAGTCCAGTTAAGACAGAGCTGTAGCTTTGTTCTAGACAAGTTCCTTACTGAGTTTTCAGACAGCATTATTTTTTTCACCAGTTATCACCATATTTGAAAAGAAGTTCAAGGCAAGAACTGACACCTTTCACTGTGCTTTTATCAGAAGAGGGTCAAAGTAAAATATTCACAACCTTGAATTAGTGACTAGGGCAATTAAATAACTGTACATTTATAAATGTCTAGCACAATATCTAATCAGGTAACATTTTTATGTGTCGAAGCTTTTTTCCCAGGAGGTGATGACCCCAAATCTTCACCTTCGGATGGCAGGAGTTGGCGTATATTTTCTACAGTTCGTTCAGAGGATGGGGGTGGTAGGCACAATCTCTGTGTAGGAATGAAAAATGTATGTCAATGCAATTGGAAATCAATGACCAAGAGAATACCAAAAATGTATTGTAGTTTGAACGTTTTCCTGTATTGACACTGCTCCAGAGTAAACCGCTTATGATACTGTTTTTGCCTCAGACCTACTTAAATACGGAGTGTCTCCTATGATCTTTTGAAGAGTTTCCATAGTAAGAAAACCCAACATCTCAACTGTTATTCTAATGTATTGATAGTTACACACTTTGGAAATTGTCATGAGTGGTAAACCTGCTCCCTATTCCCTTCAAGTCTTCCCCCTTGGTCCCCACTCCCTATATGTTCAAAACTCCCTGGACCAGTTGAGTAAACAAGTGCCCACTGTAAAATGTTTATATATAAAGTTCTATGTACTTAAGTGTGACTTGAGTGATTTCTGCAAGCTATCATTGAAGTATTTACATAGCCTAGTGTATTGATAGGAGAGAGTCTCTTTTCCCTGAACTATTTACAATGTGTGTAAGTAAAAGCTCCTCAGGGGATAATTCTCACACATGATGTGCATGTTTTATGACGGCAGAGAGGCTGCACCCCTTTTTCTAAAGGGGGCTGATTCAAGGGAGGAAGAGAGTCGATGAACTTAACACAGACTCCTTAGTTTCTAAATAGACACCCTAGGTGGCTCTGGCTGTATTTTGACAGTAGGATTGTAATTGTCTGGGTGGAGGTGTAGCTGCTTCCAAACAGTAAAATGTAATTTGTTCGATAAGGTTAGCAGAGTTCCCTGTAGTCTGGTGTTGTGTACTTAGTGTCAGACCTTATAGCACAATCCACCAGCCCCTGAGCATAATAGCAGATGACATTCTGGTGTATTTGCCGCAAGACTACACAACATGCAGGCCTCGTTTAAGTCAGTTCTGCTGATATTAATAAAATGCAATATTTACCCATTTCCACACATACAAAAGCACTTTTAATGAGCAATGACAGTCCAGGAATTTAACTACTAACGCATATCAACAGAAGACTATTATATTGACTACTTTTTTGTTTTGGCTTCACAATTTTAACGAATCAAACAAACTGCCCATACAGTACTGGCATTTACTGGAGTGTAAGTACAATCAATGTGAAGATTGTGTCCGTAAACTTTTCATGAGCTGTTTTTCATCAGGCTTGTATTCTGTTGTAGCAGCACAGAGACAGTCGGTCAGATGTCTGTCAGTAAGAGAGGTGTGCAGTTTTGACTTAATTCCCATGAAGGAGAATGAACTTTCACAGATGTACATGGACCCAAAGCAAGCTAGCACTTTTTTGGGCACATTTCAGTAATGCAGGGTACGTGTGTTTCTGTACATTGGTCATCCAAAATGTTTGTGTCCTTTTCCTTACGCCTAGCTTTAGAATACCATTGTTTTACAGTTCTAGCATCTCTTCTTCAAATGACCCTCTGAACACCAGATCTCACTGCTGAAGGTGAGACTGCCTTTACCTTAACTGAAAATGGATTTTCAGTAAATTCAAGAACTGTCTTCAGGGATTTGACATTTAGAAAATGAGAAGAAAATTTGGTTTTCAGCTCTGAGATGGACGCTAAAAAAAATCAGGCAAAAAAGATGCATGTTCACTCAGTTGTTTCACTTGCGAGTTGAGGATGGGAAAGTGAGTTAAGTCTTTCTTGTGAAGCTGATCTGCAAAAAGGGCTAGTTTGTTTCAAACGCAGAAGCATTGGACTTCAGAGCAGGCAGGTTTTTTTTTCTTTAGCCTGGAAGTTTGATTGAGTGCATTAAAGTGGTGCGTCATATCGGTGAGAAGTCACATTTAGCAGGAATATTTCTTCATCTAAACATGGCAGTAAATCTTGGCAATCCTTTGCCTCTGAAAACACTTGTACAGCAGACAGTAGGATCCATAAACGGATCTGACACCTTGTCTCAACTCTTGTCATCTAACTTCTGCAAGCCTTGCCAAGTCACCATACTGTGTTTCGTACTTCTCAACTAAAGCTCGAAATTGTCTGTTTCAAGGCATTTGCAACAATGAAGTTGATGATTTTTGTGACCCTATCCATTGTGCTCTTGAGAAATCTTCTCTTTAGTTTGCGGCATAACTGTTCTTGTTGCAGAATGCAATGGTATGAAAAGAAATCTGGAAACTGGATTTTTCTTCAGCAAAGAAATTAGTCCCTTCTCTCTTCCAACCATGGAGGGAGTACCATCAGTTGATACTGAAATAAGCTTCTTCAAATCAATGCATTTTCCTGGACCTTCAAAAATGCCATCAGCACAGAATAAAAGTCCTCTCCCCTAGTTTGACCCATCCAAGGTAGCAGAATAAGCATTTCTTTGACATACTTTTTGCCATTGAAAAAACACACCCAGATTATGAGCTGATACGTTTGAACAAGCAGTAGATTCATCCGTTGCCAAACTGGAATACTCGGTGCTTTCAATGTCTTTTAGCAATTTAGCAAACAGATTACCTGAAATGCTTTCAATTTGTCTTACTACATACATTTGAATAGACACTTGCAATTTTGATATTTGCAGTCAAATTAAAAAATGTAATCACAATTAATCGCGTGCCCCTCCCCTTTGAAACGCTGCCGTGGCGTTTCAATGGGGCAGCACTGCATCAAGCCTGGGATCAGCTGGCTTCCTCAGCTGATTCCGGGCTCGGTGCATTGTTGCCCCTTTACAGTGCAAGGCATTCCACGTGGCACTTCTACAGAACCCGGGCTCAGCTGGGGAAATGCTCTGGGCAGTCTGGGATCAGCTGGGCAGTCCGCAGCTGCCCCTGGGCTCCATGGCAGTTGCCCCTTTGAAATGCCAGAGAGAGTGTTTTACAGGGGCAGCCTCCCTACAGCTGATCCTTCAGTAAAAGATCTTTTTGATTTAGCTACGTGCCAAGCCATTTTGAAGGAGGCTTCTGTAATGGCATCGATGTCTTTGACTTGCAAACGGAACATCTTCTTGAGTATGGTAACCTTCCAGTAAGAATAGATCTTCAAATATCTAAAAGGGTGTCACAAGGAGGAAGGAGAAAATTTGTTCCTCTTGGTTTCTGAGGACAGGACAAGGAGTAATGGGCTTAAAGTGCAGCAGGGGAGGTTTAGATTGGACATTAGGAAAAAATTCCTAACTGTCAGGGTGGTCAAATATTGGAATAAATTGCCAAGGGAGGTGGTGGAATCTCCCTCTCTGGAGATATTTAAGAACAGGTTAGATAGACATCTGTCAGGGATGGTGTAGACGGAGCTTGGTCCTGCCTTGAGGGCGGGGGGCTGGACTCGATGACCTCTCGAGGTCCCTTCCGGTCCTATGATTCTATGATTCATTTTTCTTAAATTGCTGTCAGGTGGACAAGTCTTTGAACTCAGGATGACAAGATGCGCTATGCCCTTGGAGTTTTGTTTTCTTTAATGCAGCTATAGTCTTTTGACAAAGAAGATATTGATTTTCCATTATCTCTGCAAAAGCGAATTACATCTCCCAAACAGGGTTGAAAGCCCTGTGTTCATCCAACAACTGTCTCTTTTGTTGCCGTTTTTAATACTTATAAAGAAAATTGTACAGCAATGTTTCGGGTGTTTAGCTTGAAGCTTCAGGTTGTGTGTGTGTTAGTGATTTTACTATAAAAAGAAAAGTTTCCAAGCCCAAGTGCTCCAACTTGCAAGGGCCAGGGAGCTGGCCAAGTCAGGCCAGACAAGAGCAGCAAGAAAGGACAGGAATTCCTAGCAGGGCTGATGCCCCACGTGGGACGCTGGTGCTTCATGTGGGAAGGAGGCAGGGCTGCCCAGGTGTGGGGCCGGCCCTATACGGGTCTAGTGTGAGCCACTCAGCACCTCTCAGGCTCTGCCCACAAGGCTAAGCAGCCAGCACCTCCCATGATGCCCCCGGCGCTCCCTGGGGGCTAGAAACGCTGACACCCTGTACCTGTCTGTCCCAGCCACCCCCTCCCCTTGTGTCTTTCAAAGCCTGGGACCGGCCTTGCTAGTGTGGAGCGTGTTCCCAGTGGAGGCCATGTGCAAAGGATCCCACCCAAAACTGCATATTGAGCCCTCCGTAAACCCAAACCGCACCGGCTAGCAGACTGTGTTGAGTAGCCCTGTTCTAGGCTTTCTTGGCTCATCAACCACGGCTCCCACTCTGCCTACCTGAACTAAGATTAGGTGTAAGAGACTTGTCATGCAAGTACTACATCCTCCCCTTCCTCCAGGATTTCTATCCACTTCACTAACATGCAATGCAAACTTCAGCAATCTGTGTAAGTTATTTATTAGTTCCCTAAATAGAAGAACTAGAGGACACCAAATGAAATTAATGGGTAGCAGGTTTAAAACTAATAAAAGAAAGTTCTTCACTCAGCGTGTAGTCACCTGTGGAACTCTGTGCCAGAGGAGGCTGTGAAGGCTATGACTATAACAGAGCTTAAAGAGAAGCTAGATAATTTCATGGAGGTTAGGTCCATAAAAGGCTATTAGCCAGGGAATAGAAATGGTGTCCTTGGCCTCTGTTTGTCAGAGGTTGGAGAGGGATGGCAGGAGACAAATCACTTGACCATTGTCTTCAGTCCAACCTCTGTGGGGCACCTGGTGCTGGCCACTGTTGGCAGACAGGATACTGGGCTAGATGGACCTTTGGTCTGACCCAGTACAGCCGTTCTTATGTTCTTATTTAACCTATGGAAAATCTTCCTTACAAACTGTGTGTTTTCTACCGTTGATTCAGAGGATGGAGGTGATAGGCGCAGTCTCTGTAGGAATGAAAAATTTATGCCAATGCAATTGGAAATCAGTGCCCAAGAAAATACCCCAAACTGTTCCTATTTTAGTTTGAACATTTCCTGTATTGACACTGCTCCAGAGTAAAGAGCTTACAAATTGGCATGTGGACTTCTTCAAATTCAATTAGTTCTTAAATCAAGACAAGCTGTTTCACATCTGAGTTTAGCTGGGTTTTTTGGACCTCCCTCTCAAGTTTTCCCCTATCCCCAGCAGGCCTATTCATTGGCATTCTGTTTCTTGGCTCCCTAATCTTTCTGCTAGCTAATAAACAGCCCGTTGCACTTGGAAATGGTCGTTCTAGCCCACAGGAAGTCTGATGCTCTGAGTCACTGGTGAGGACGGGGTGCAGGGAAGCAGCTTCTAC